TTACAAGTGTTGTTCCAAGGCTTCCCCTGAGCATGTTGGAAATCATCTCCTATGCAGTCAGCTCCTGGTACTGAATGGAGGTTGCTGAGCATGGTCCAGTCAGGCCCTCAGGCCCTTCCATTCCATATTCATTGTTCCAGGTAGCTGGGTGGGCCCCTAACCACTGTAGGTGATGGTCTAAACTTCTCCCTGGGCAAGTACCAATGCCCTGGATCTCACTTCACCTGCTCTCAACTCCCCTGATTGAAGAAGGCCTCTGGCATGTTCTACTCAGGCCACAAAACCACCTAAGGTTAGTCCAGTGTGTCTGGGAGCTGGGGAGTGATTGACCACTGGGAGTGATGATCTTAAGTCTCCTGGGGCTCAGGATAGTGTGCAGGACTCACTCCAGCCAGCAGCTGAGTTCCCAGATTTAAATAAGTTCCCATGCAAAACATTTTTAATAAGATGAGATCTCAGCTATTTGTTCTGGAAAGGTTTTTCCATTCAGTTTGATTTTTTCCATTTATATTTTCTACATACTGTATATCTTCGAGATTTCTTCATATTTTATCTTCCAACAGATTAAGTATTTCTATTTTAATATTTAGATCTTTGATCCATTTTCAATTTTGTGCATAGTGACAGGTATGGGTCTTGCTTTAGTTTTCAACATATGGAAAAGCCAGTTTATCCATTACTAGTTACTAAATGGGGTATCCATCTTCCAGTGAACATGCTTAGATGCCTTATCAAAGATGAGGTGGCTGAGTGTGTTTTTTATTGTGATTGTGTCTTGCAATCTGTTTCATGATTTTTAGGTCTGTATCATGCTGATTTTATTACATTAGCTTTGTAGTATAACAGCAAGTCAGGTATTGTGATGCCTCCTGCCTTGCCTTAGCTGTTCAAGGTGTCTTCTGGTTTCAGATGAATTTTAAGAATGATTTCTTTAGATCTGTGAGGCATGCTAATGGTATTTTGATTGGAATTGCATTAAACCTGTAAAGGAGTTTTGGGAGACCCTCTTTGATATCTTTTTTCAGAGTATTTTAATTTTCACTGAATAGATATTTTACTTCATTTATGAGACTGATTCCTAAGTATTTCATTTTTTTGGATGCTACTGTGAAGGATATACCTTCTTTTATTTCTCTCTCAGTGAGTTTTTTCTTTGTGTATAGGAATGCTATTGATTTTAGTGTGCTGAATTTGTATCTATCTACATTACTGAATTTGATTATTATGTCTAGGAATCTTTCAATAGAGTTTTGAGGGTCTTATATGTAGAGTATGTGTCATCTGGAAATAATGATATTTAAACTTCTGGTTTTCCAATCAATATTTCTTTTATTTCTTTTTCTTGTCTAATTGTTCTTTGTAATATTTCCAGAATTATATTGAATAGGAGTGGTGATAGTGAGGAGCCTTGTCTTGCTTCTGATTTTAGAGTCAAAGCTTTCAGTTTTGGGCCATTTAATTACAACACTGGCTACTGGCTTGCCATAGATGAATTTTATTAGATTGCGTTTTAGACCATCTATTCTGATTTTCCATAGGGTTCTTGTAATGAATATTAGATTTTATCAAAATCTTTTTCTGCATCTATTGAAATGATTGTGTGATTCTTATCATTGACTCAATTGACATGATATATTACATTTATTGTTTTGCGTATGCTGTACCATACCTGCATTCCTGGGATGAATTCCACTTAGTAATGGTATATAATCTTCTTGATGATTTCCTGCATTCTGTTTGTCAGAATTTTATTGTGGATTTTTGCATCTATGTTCATTAGGGAGATGGGCCTGTAATGCTCTTGCTTCTTGTATACAGACTTTGTATTTTATTTCTATTCATATATGTGAAGGAACATTTCTAAGGAAGTAATCTGTCTGTATTACTTCACTTATCACTGTGTATGTGGTTGTCTGTCCATCTGTTTCTGTGAACAACTGTGGTGTGCATAATTAAATCAATTATGACTTTGAGAATGAATAAATGAATGTATGATCATGGTGTTCATGTTTCTGTGTGCATGTGATAGTATAAATGCACATGTTATACAAAATTTTGAGACATAAAAGTTAATTCAGATCACACAGAACAGTGTCAAACACAGTGTGGAGAATGAGGAATAAAATTGAGATGAAGGAAAAGCAGGTGGAGAAACAGATCTCTGCAGGGAGAAGTTGGTGAGGGAGGTAAAAATCCCCCAAGGAGACAGGAGAACTGAGAATGTATGGGACACAGAAGAAATGAAAATGTTGAAAGGAAAATGCAAAGGAAACTAAGACATGTGGCGAGAACAATGTGGAAAGGGTACATATGAAAAAATAAAATCAATAGGAAATGCTTTCACAAAACAAAAGATGAGTCAGTCTCCAAACAGATCAGAATTAAAAGGTGCTAAAGAGAGAGTTGAGCTAAAATAAAAAGGCAATAATTACTGACAGGAAAACTATGAAAGTGTATACTTCAATGCTGAAGGTAGATTTGTACTCAGATGTATAATATTCTAATAATGGCTAATAATTCTAATAATTGGCTCTTTGTACATCACATGAAAATCTGTGAAAGTGTACATTTTAATGCTGAATATAATAATATATATTCTAATGTATAACATTCTAAAAATGTCATGGCTCTTTGTAAATTACTTTTGACTCTACCATTACATTTCAAAGGCATAGATACAAAAATAATATATGAATATTTCCTTATAGTGTGTGCAACATAAAATATATAAATTGTTACATGAAATACACAAGCAATGAATGTTTATCCCAAAAGGACTCAAAATGGCTAAGGTGTTCTTCACAGATGAATAGATAGATATAATGAGATCTGTATAAAGAATAGAGTATAATTTAGGAATAAAAGAGAATAAAATCCTGTTCTTTGACACAAAATAAATAGAATGGTGGAGACATTCTGTGAAGTGAAAAATGTTATTTGAAAAAGACATAGAACATATATTTTCTGTCATATGTGCAAGCAAACAGAAGTCAGTCTAGTGATTACAGATATTCTCAAGGGTGTCAAGATGGAGTTATAAGGTTTTAAAATATGGTTCAGTTTTATCAATTTATGCCACACCATGTGTGCAGACACTAAAGAATGCAACCCATATTTACAGTTGATATTTATTATTAACCAAATCAGAGGAAAGAGTCTGAAATTACAAAACTTTGGTGTGCTTGGTAGTTAAGCTTCTATAGGTTATTATTAACCAAATCAGAGGAAAGAATCTGAAATTACACAGCTTTGGTGTGCTTGGAAGTTAAGCTTCTATAAGTTCAAATCAGACTCTTATTGCTAGAAATTGTTTTCTGTAAAAATTTATCACAGATAAAAATTGGATTAAAAAGGGAAGCAAATTGAAAATGAAAAAAAAACACAAAGAAAACAGAAATAGAGGAAAAAGAAACACAAAGTTAATACTAGCAACCAGAAAACAATAAACAAAACAGTAATGCTATCACCTATTTTAAATATAAATGACCTAACCTTTCCAACAAAGGATATCAAGTAAATACACAAGAGTAAAAAACACAAGACCCACTTTATGTTTCCTATAAGATTGTATCCTAAAATATCTACTGAGACTGTAAATGAAAGTGTGAAATCAGATATTCCATGCAAATGATGACACAACAAAAGAATAATAAAGTCTGCAACAACAGACTTTAAGCTTATAGCATTTGTCAGTTTGTTTTGAAATGTATTGAGCCATGAGCTTATGAAGGTCCTCCACACACATGGCCATGACTGAGCCTTGTTCATAAAATCCAGCTCTGTTACACAAGCACAGACATTTAAAAAGTACCACAATACATTGTGTCTAAAAAAGAGTTCATTTTTACAAAATGCTTTAGTGGGACCAATGAACTTTCTAAAAATTAGTTTAAGGGTGAGACACGAGGCTCCTTCTGATACTAAAGTAGTATAAGACCCTAGCCTTTCTTCCTCTCTGTAAGGCTCTTCAAACTGCTTGTCTGTTCTCTGTTCCCCACTATCCACTTCCCTCCACTGTGTTCCAGCTAAGTTTGCTTCCTTACTGTAGGTCTTTCTCCAAGCACCCTTGTCTATCTTTCTTTGGAGGATGGGATAGTCTTTCTTTAATGCCTCTCTATGTGGACGTTGCTTCTGCAAATAATTGATATCACCTGTAAAGAACCCAAACAAAGACTATCCAGTCTTTTAAGGAAATTTCTGCTAAACTTGTCAAAACTGCCATAGACTGATACATCTTTGTTTTCCTGTACAATAAACAAATTTATGAAAGTTTGTAAGCTAAACTGAGTATAACTTCCAAGACTCATCCTGTAGAACAACCAGAAAAGGAAGCTGCTCCGCTATGCTAAATCTCTGAACCACTACCCAAAAGGCAGACAGATACCTGAGCACTTACAGAGAGGGCCTCCTAAGAATGTTCATCACTCATCTGAGCACTGTTTGTTTTCCATACATGTTTATATAAATGCATCACTTCCATCAGTCACTCATCAATACGATGCAGTGTTTGTGCAGGAGCTGATTTTCTTTCCTTCCTGCTTCCTGAAACATTTTAGGGCAGTTTTCTGTAGGATGTTGTGCAGAAGGATTAGACCAGTCTGCCACATGACCTACAATTTTCAAAATGACTCAGCTTGAGAAATCCCTGAAATCACTGGGGTCCATATAAAAGGTTGACAAATTTGTCCTTAAATTTGTATGTCATTAAATTTTAATTTTTTTGAACTTGATTTGAACTCAGGACCTCATGCTTACCAGACAAGTATTATATCACTGAACTAAATTTCAAGCCCTCCAGTAAGCTAAATTTCTGTCCTTTTAAAGTTTACATGATATTTACTTTATCTACTTTATTTCTGTCCTGCAAATCAAGCCCAATGCCTTTTACACCTCAGACAAGAGCTCTTCTACTGATTTCACCCATAGCCTTCTTCAGCTTTTTGTCTCCCTAAGTTACACTCTGTGTCTCAGCTACTCACCTTTGTGCAACACTGGGCACTTTACCTGCTTCTGAAAAAATTTAATAATCTGAACCAGAGTCTGGCCGCAGTGGAGTTACAACTCATTAGAACGAAAGGGCTGACAGTGGGGAACCAGGTGGAAATCAGATCAGAGGTGTTTATGAGCCACCAAGTAGGTACACTGAAATTGATGAAACAAACATAGAAGAATGAGGAGAGGGTATAAAAAGACACAAAGGTGCACACGAGGACAAGGACACTTTGTGTGGCCCTGGACTCCGGGGATGACTTGTGGGATTCATTTGTCCTGCGGATGTGCTGGACCTGCTGCTTGTGCCTGTGCAAAATGAAAATCATGGAGCCACTGGACCAGATCATGAGCCCAGACCATGAAACTTCAGGGAATAACACAAATGCTGCATACAATGACTCTGTAGTTTTGTCTTGAGGTCCAGAAGAGCAGTACCCAAAATCTTTTCTCTTTGTGATATTTTTACTGCTATATTTTATGAGATTATAAAATGGAAAAATACAATTAACTAATATATGGAGAATCCAGCTGAGGAAAGTCCAGAAGCCAATATGCTTGTGAAGTTTAACTTTAAGATCCTGCCAAATGGAGTTTATGGGGCTGATCTTAATGGTCTGGAAGACACTCAGCAGACAAGTGGCACTAACTGACACACCCCGGGCCACTCTGTAGATGTACAAAACAAATGAGCATCTATTACCTGGAGAGAAATACTGTATTCCAAAAGCTTGTACTGTCTGTGAGATTCCTTTAGAGAGCATGATCAGTGTGTTTGCAACAGTCAAGTGCTTAGCTATTAGATCCGTAGGCCTGAACTTGTAACCAGTGAAGCAGAGAAAGAGATAATGGAACAGAAGCACAATATTAGCTAGGATTCCAGTGACTGTCTGAATCAGAAAGGCAGTTCCTAATACCATGTTCCCAGATGTCATTCTTTTATGAGGATGTAAGAATTATGAGTTCCTCGGTGGTATTTTAAAACTTCCTGTTAGTTGTGTGTTGCTTTGTGATTACTGAAGAAAACAGAGTTTGGACTAAGGATAGAGAAGTATGGCTTCTTGCCAACTTTGAGCTGGTGTTAACCTGAGTGAAGCAATGACAAGAAATGAAAACAGAGCAGTTGCTTGATTTCAGGGGATCAATGATTTTTCACATATAAATGGCATAATACATATATATATAACCTATTCAGTTTCCCCCTATACTGTAAACACCCTCAAGATTGCTCACGTTGCCTGAGACATTGTAAGTGCTATGCAAATAGCAAGTATATATGTTGACTGGAAAATAATGATAAGAAAACACGGGCATACAGTGAGTTCCCATAATTTTTTAAAAAATATATTTGGGCCATGTTTGCTAGATCCACATATGTGAAATACATAAGTACAGAAAACAGACCATAAAGAATTTTCAAAATAAATTTGAGTTTGTGAACTGGAAAAAAATATTCCCAGTCGTAGTCCACACCACATAGCAAGGGGATTTTAAATATACTGCTGAATAAAATATTAAAGCCTAGGATCTTAGTCTATGAAAAGGTTATTTAAGCACTATGAAAATCAACAAATCACAAGTTGTGACATGAGAAAAATAGCTAATTTTAAGATAAGTGGTTCGATTTATCAGAAGAGAAAAAAATTCATTTCTGGTATCTATAAATAACTACAAATGGTGGACAATTATACAGATAATGAAATGGAAAAATATATGTAAATGAAACAAAACAGTCTCTTAAAAAATAGGCTACCCAACTGGTTGATTTCCCGTCTGGTTTTGAAAGCCCTTAGGGCTCTCATTATTGTGTTTTGATTGCTTTTGTACCGTTTTATTAACATTGTGTATGAAGGTTTGGACAACAATTTCAAAGAAAACAAAAGACATGTTAGACACTGTTGATTTTCTGCTGTGGTTTTCTGAAATCCTGTTATTTGCATTGTTATACTCTTTTCTGCTTTGCTTTGTTCTGTTTTGTTTTGCTTTGTTCTCTTTAAAATTATAAAATATATAAAAAGTGGCTACCCAGTGGCATATGGTAAGTTGCGTATTAGCAGTAAATAATAGGAAAGAGAAATCAATACCATTTCCTCTTAGCACTACATAAGAACTGGAAAGCTAAAAATGGAAGTAGCAGGAAATATCAAATTGGTAATATGATGTAGATATTCCTGATCTCCCATAACCTGTTAGTAAACACATACATTTGCACAAGGATTCTAGGAAATTGTTAATGTTTACAAAAGCTTAGAAGGGTCTTATCACATCTACCAACAATTCTGCTTCTACAAATTGGACCATGAAAAATTTGTGAGTGTGATTAAAAGACACAAGTTCTAGATTTTACAAATCAGCACTATGTGGAATAATCTTACTCTAAAATAAATATATGGGTATTTTTAGCCAAATTCAAAATCACTTGTCAGCTAGTGACAGAATTTAATGACACACAGAAATTCTACTCACTGATCTATGATAATATGTGGTAAAACATATCACTTGTTTAATAACATATTTGACAAAAATTCACAATACTATGGAAGTGATCTGCTCTCCTTGAGGTCAGGATAGTGCTATGCTGAGCTGAGCTGAGAAAGCAGGGGCTAGAATAGTCACAGCAGAACTCACGGATGGTGAACAATAATCTGTCTAACAACTTGAAGCTACAGAACAGCATTCAGATCATATAACCTCGTTGAGGCACTTATTTGTAACCTGTGTATATAACGTTAAAGTGAAAAAACAACTCATCATTAGAAATTATTGCAAGAAGGGACAAGTAAATAATTGAATCTATATTTCTTCACAAAAGTTTAAAGTACTATCATCACGTTATGTTTTATTTTGATTGTGTGATATAATTTCCACATTAGAAACCCTAAGATCATGAGTTTACACTGTACAAAGTAAAAGGTTACAATGTGTGATGATAAAAAATACCACAGGAAAATTTAAATACAATGGATTAAAAAATAGAATTTGATGAAAAACACAAAACAAATTGGTAAATTTAAACTCTGTTTTGGGTATTTTTATCATAGAACAATTCTTCCTACTAAAAAAGCCAAATGTGTCCTTAATAGGAATATCAAGTGTATTCAGTTGAAAATAATTTGGAGCTATAATTTAAATGTCAAGATTTAAAAATACTAATGATGCAAGTATAATGACATGAATAGATTGATAATAAACATATAGATATTAACAAAAAAGGAGTTTTTCCATACTTTTACTGGTTATTTTTAAAATTTTGAAATGTACACATTTTCAATATTATTGCTCCCAGGGTACCAAACAAGATTTGTAGTTTACTTAGACTTGTTTGTTTGTGGTTCTGAATAGGAAAATCAGAGCCAGTATTGTCTCTAAACTACATTCCCTAACATTTTAATTATTTTCTAACAGGGCCTCATTCGTTTGCCCACACTTGCTTGAAAGTCCCTGTCCCCCTACCAGCCTTCTGAGAGCTGGGATTACAAACTCACACCGCTGTGCCTGGGTAAGGAGTGTTTGTGTCAGGTCTCTTTGACAGCTTGAAGCATGATGCAGACTCTGTGTGTGAGGAAGTGGCTTCCCTGGATAGCAGCTCCTTAGGCTCAGATTCTAAGACCTGTGGTCCCCACTGGCTTGGACTCTAGAGATGATGGCAGGAGGTAGCTACTCATGCCTGGGGATGGGCACTAAAATTTACCTTCATACATCAGCACAGACATAGATGTTTGCAGAGCAGCTACCATGTACCGTATCATGATGATGCAAGTCCTTCCTTTGTGTCCACCTCTCCCCTCCCCACCACAGGGATAACTGGACTTTAGACACAGCAGACACTTGGAGGACACTAGCCATGTGTAAATTGTGGCTGCAGGACTGCAAATACAGTATGTGCTCAGCAGGTCATGGCCATCATTTTCTCTGGAGGCAAATGTCAGTTCTCACTGAGGACACAGGAATCTGTGTGAGACCCTGAGTAATCTGTGTGGGAGTGAGAGCCCAGGCTGAGACCTCACAGGCTCCACTTCACTGCCACAGCTCAATGTTTCCTTTCATTAGGATTCTTAAATGTGCTAAAAGATTCACTCATATCACATGTGCAATGAAACATAAAATTTGTACTATAACTTTCACAAATTTCTGGAGTAGGAGCTACTGTTCATTTAATGTGAAAGATGAGGCAGGTTTACGGACAGATTTGGTTAAATCAGCACCAGAGATAGAGACAGAGGAGGAATTTAAACTGTTTCACCAGCTGATCACAGAGACAGTTTCCTCACCCTGGGCTAAATGGAGAGGACAGGTCAGCTGTTCTTCTCCCAATAAAGAGCTATGTTTGCACCACCTTCTGCTCACTTTGTTTTATTCTCAGGGAAATCTATTTCATGATTATGTCACTCATTGCAGATATTTATTCTACAGTACATGTCAAATGTTAGTAAATCTTGGATATACAAATAATATTAGGATGCCCTGAATGCAGTTTAATATCATAAAGGTACACTCTGTGTTGGTATGATTTAGTTATGGAAAAATTGGCTTAATACTAGAATGCTTTGAGGTTGAAATTTTTTTCTTGTATGTCAGAAGACATTTATCACAGAAATTATCAAATAATATCCCATCATGCCATAAAGCTAAGATTCAGAAGCCTAATATGTGAGAAGATAATATAAGGGGAAACTAAATTTTTTAATTTTAGAATCAGATACTTATTGCTTTAACATGTAATCTAATATCATATACCTCTTTTTATTATTTATCAGTGAAGTTTAATTGGTTAAAGATATTAACATATATGCTAAAAATATTGTGGAAAGTACTGTATAAAAATTTGATTTTGTAGATTTAGTATTGGGATTGAAAATGGAATATCTATAAAGCAGAGAACATATCACAAGATCCACTGTACCTTGTCATATGCACTCCTTCCGTGAAATGCAGCTGCTCTTCTAGGAGCTGAGGAGTCTGCAAAAGTTCTGAAAGCTGCAGTGTTTCTGGGAGATGCACTCACATCTCCATTGCAGGATTCAGGCCCAGAGTCAGAAGCAGCACCTCCACTTCTGCCACTGCTGTGCTCGTCAGACTCCTTGTTACATGGGATAAGATGGCGCTAAATCTGTTCTGGTCCTTACCGTGAACTTGGCAATTTTAGAGAAACACTTCTGGTAACCCTGAATATTTCCTCTCTGATTTCTATAACATGAAACACACAGCAGAAGAGCTTTAGAATGACTTTTCCAGCCTAAAGCACTTGAAAACCTAATTTGTGTACCTTGAAATAAATGCCAAATTAATGAGACATGATGTGTCATGTGAGTAGAGTAGGAGCCATGCAGATTGATGAAATGCCTAACAACTGTCCCCCTCCTTACAGGCTCAGCTCACTGCTGCCCTGGACTTGTTTCTCCTTCCTACAGGACTGTCTACCTGGATTTGTTTCCCCCAGCACAATTCCTTCTCCTGACAGGAGCACTCACTGCAGCTCCAATAGACCCACTCCCTTTCACACCCTGCCTCTCTAAGGAAGCTGAACACACTCACCTCACTCATTCCTGGTTCCAAAATGGAGAAATCAGTGTGCAGACCTGGGAAGCCAGCATGGATGTGGGAGGGAGGCAGCTGGGCCCTGAGATCTCGCTTTGTGATCTAGTGACCTCCCTAAGGATTGCAAGCATCACCTCAGCTTTAGAGAGGATAGCACTGCAAGCCTGTAGACCCCAGGGAAATTCTGAAACTTTCCTCCCAGTTGCTAATTTGAGTGTTCAAAAGTTAGTAGCAATCATCTCCAGTGAAACTCTCCCTGTCCCTGCCTCTCCTCTACACTTCTGATTCTCTGGTTACAGCTCTCTACTCTCACCTTCTATGTCATTAAGCTTTTTAAGATTGCACATATGAAGGAATATATCTGTTTCTTGTCTTTCTGGTCCTTGTTTATGTCCTG